AAAGTATAAAAGCAGACTTGAGGAAATGCATGTGCATTTTTTTAAGTTGCTGGTTGAAGTAGTACTATGAAAACATGACTTGAAAAATGACTAAAAGATAACCTATGGTTGTTCAGACTTGCATATTTTACAGATTTTTTTCTCAAAAATTAACAAAGCAAACCTGTTATTTCAAGTTAGGCAGCTAACAATATTTGTTCACAAAGATAAAACTCAAGCTTTCTAAGAAAAATTAGAATTTTAGAAAATTTACCTCCTCTGTAATGAGGTTCAGAGCTTCCCAATACTTTCTGATGAGTTCAGTAGTAATATCAATGAATGTGCTTTATTAATATATTATATGATAAAATATGTCAACATTTGAAAGATCTCTTTAACCCAGTGAACCAACATTTTTCAAATAGTCAATGCACAATGTTACAAAATCATGCACAGGTAGAATATCCATTCGAATTGCAAGAAAGACCAATGGAATTTTAATGTAACAGAGTATGTAAAGGTCATTAATAGAGTTTCAGATTCCACTTTTCAACTAAACTTTAAGGAACTACCATTTGCCCAATTTGTCTGTATTTAGAAAGGCTTCCATTACAACTACATTCTGTGTGAGTCTAGAGTTCATATATTTCAACCAAAGTGAACAATTCACAACAGATTGAATACAGAAGTAGATATGAGAATCCAGCTGTCTTTTATTAAGCATTACATTAAATATATTTGCAAAAGAATAGAATAACACTACTCCTCTGATTATTTCTTTTTTTTTTGGAAAATATAATACTTTTCACAAAATATGTTTATTCAGGTAACATGTAATGGATTTTATTATTGTTATTATTATTTTTTTTGTGTGTGTGTGTGTGTGGTATGTGGGCCTCTCACTGTTGTGGCCTCTCCTGTTGCGGAGCACAGGCTCCGGATGCGCAGGCTCAGTGGCCATGGCTCACAGGCTCAGCCGCTCCGCGGCATGTGGGGTCTTCCTGGACCGGGGCACGAACCCGTGTCCCCTGCATCGGCAGGTGAATTCTCAACCACTGTGCCACCAGGGAAGCCCTACTGTTATTTTTAACTAAACTAATTGATAAATATTTGAAAACCTTCTCAGTTTTAAATTCTAATACAATAAGTATCAAAAGATGGAAACCATGTAAACAAAAGCTTTTGGGGGTTTCTTGGTAGATTTTAAGTGTGCTAAAGGGTCCTTAGACCTAAAAATTTGAGAACTACTAATTTAATATAATTTCCATTTCAAAACCCATGTACACTATGATTTTGCTCTAATAAAAAGAAAAACTTTCTCTCTATATATTCGTCTATCCAGTTATCAGCCTTCGTATCTATGGAAGTGTTTGCCAAATATTCATGCCAGCCATTTTTTTTAATTAATTAATTTTTTACTGAATATAGTTGATTTACAATGTTGTGTTACTTTCAGGTATACAGCAAACTGATTCACATATATATATGTATATATGTATTCTTTTTCAGATTCTTTTCCCTTATACATTATTAAAAATATTGAATATAGTTCCCTGTGCTATACAGTAGGTCCTTGTTATTTATTTTATATATAGTAGTGTTTATATGTTACCCCCAGATTCCTAATTTATACCCCCCTACCTTTCCCCTTTGGTAACTGAAAGTTTATTTTCTATATCTATGAGTCTGTTTCTGTTTTATAAATTAGTTCATTCGTATCATATTTTTAGACTCCACATATAAATGATATCATATTATATTTGTCTTTGTCTGGCTTACTTCACTTAGTATGATAATCTCTAAGTCCATCAATGTGGCTGCTAATGAAATTATTTCATTTTTTATAGCTGAGCAATATTCCATTATGTGTGTGTGTGTGTGTGTATATATATATATATATATATATATATATATATATATATATCTATCTCACACCTTTATCCACTCATCTGTTGATGAACTTTTATGTTGTTTCCATGTCTTGATTATTGTAAATAGTGTTGTGGTGAACATTGGGGCACATGTATCTTTTCGAATTATGGCTTTCTCCAGATATATGTCCAGGAATGAGATTGCAGGATCACATCGTAACTCTTTTAGTTTTGTAAGGAAACTCCATACTGTGCTCCGTAGTGGCAATACCAATTTACCTTCCCACCAACAGTGTAGGAGGGTTCCCTTTTCTCCACACTCTCTCCAATTGCTGGCCATTTCTGAGGGTTGTAATTTCAGCTTTTAGTGCACTTTCACAGGTATTTTTTATATTGCTTGAGTAAAAAAACAACAAAATCATTATCTTAAATGTATATATTCACAAAAATAAATAAAAGTAAAGAGTAGAGAATGGGGATATGAAAAATTTTTAAATATATATTCCACAAATATCTGAGAATTCAGTAAATGCATCATGAGAATTATTTGCTTTGATGATTTTGGATCAATTGGAAATCAAAAGAGAAAAAATAAAAATTGACCGTGTATTAATTTCCTATTGCTGCTGCAGCAAATTACCATAAACTTAGTGGTTTAAAACAACAGAAACCAGAAGTATAAAATGTATCTTATACAACTAAAATCAAGTTGTTAGCAGGACTGGTTACTTCCAGAGGCTCCAGAGGAGAAGTTATTCCTTGCCTCTTCCAGCCTCTTTCTGGTGGCTGCTGGCATTTCTTGGCTTGTGACTGCATCACTCCAATCTCTGCTTCTATAGTCACATAACTTGTCCTCTTCCATGGTCAAATTTCCCTCTGCCTCTCTCTTAAAAAGACACGTGACTAATTTTATGACCCAACCAGATAATCCAGGATAATCTCGCTATCTCAAGATCTTTAATTTAACCACATCTGCAACGTCTCCCTTGCCATATAAGGTTAATATTCACAGGTTCCAACAATTAGGACATGAATATCTTTCAGAGTCATTATTCAACCTACTACAACCCCTTACTTCACATCATATACAAAAGTCAATTCTCAGGAGAGTGTAGCTCTTAAATAAAGATTACTGAAGATAATGTAAGAGAATAACTTTGTGACTTTGAGGCAGGCAAAGATATCTTAAAGATGATACAGAAAGTACTAATCATAACCACAAAGGAAACAACTGGTAAATTTACCCATACTAAAATTAAGAACATATGTTCATCAAAATTGACCCCTAAGAGCTTCCCTGGTGGCGCAGTGGTTGAGAGTCCGCCTGCCGATGCAGGGGACACGGGTTCGTGCCCCGGTCTGGGAAGATCTCACATGTCACGGAGCAGCTGGGCCCAAGGGCCATGGCCACTGAGCCTGCGCGTCCGGAGCCTGTGCTCCGCAACAGGAGAGGCCACAACAGTGAGAGGCCCGCATACTGCAAATTGACCCCTAAGAGAATGGCCAGACGGTCTACAGGATTGGAGAAGATATTTTCAATATATGTAGTTGACCAAGAGCTTATTTGTATGCTCTTTTATGTGTATGCATATATATGTATATAAATATTACATATATACATAGATATAACTCTATAATCAATAAGGAAAAAGCAAACAAGCAGACAAAAATAAGAGAAAGACACACAAACCGACACTTCACAAAATAGGATATCAAAATAGCCACTAAACATGAGAATATACTCAACTTCTCTAATATGAGGAAAACAAAAATTAAAGCCAGAATAATAAACACAGAATAGTTAAAATCTACAAGGTGGTCAAACCAATTAATGGCAAAAAAAAAAAAAAAGGATCAGCTGACATTCATATATTGTTGGTAAGGAGTTAAAACATCATTTCAGAAAACTGGTAGTAGCTACTAAATTAATCATAGTCGTATTCTGTGACACAACAATTTAACTCCTGGTACATACAAAACAGAAATGCATGCACTTCAACACCAAAGACACATACAAGATTGTCATAGCAGCATTATTCATAAAAACCAAAAACAGGGTGGGTAGATTTCCATCTATAGAAGAAAAAATAACTGAATTGTGAATATTCATTTAATAGAATATTATAAAGCAGTAGAAATGTAGGGTGAATGCTATCTCACATACATAATATTGAGCAAAAGCAAATAGACGTTAAAGAACATAGAAGTATGATCTCACTAATATAAAAATGAAAATCAAGCAAAACTATTGCTATTGTTAAACATCAGGACCTCAGTTCCATTTGGTGGAGGGAAGAGGAGAGCACTGATCAATAGGAATTCTGACAATGCAGAAAATTTTCTTTTTCTTAAGTTGGTGGTGTTTGTGTGAGCGGGTTCACTTTGTGAGAATTCACTAAGCTATATGCTTAAAATTTGTGTGATTTTCTGTGTGAGTGATACTTAAATTAAGAATGTTAAAAAAGAGAGAACTCTATGCACCTACAAGGACAGATATCTAAAACTTATTGTTAAGTGAAAAGACAAGTAAGCAAAGCTATTTATTATATTATTTGTTTTAAAAATAAAATTAGGGCTATACAAATATTTGTATGTTTATAAATCATAGTAAAGAATACCTCAAAGGGGGATGAAGGATGGGCTGGCAGAAAGGGGAATGTTTCTCTTGTTTTTCTTTATATATTTCTTTACCATTTCAATTTTTATGAGACATATTAAAATTAAAATATAAATAATAATTATAAATCAAGTTATCAATACTCAGTAGGTGCCAGGCACTTTTCATTTATTACTTATTTTATTATCACAGTAATTCTAACAATTAATTGCTCTCATTATCCCATTAGAACCTATTGGGAAACTGAGGTTGAAAATAGTTAAGGTCATAGTTATTAAGAAACAAAGTCAGAAGTTAAAATCTCATGTCAAGTTAATGCTGTTAATACTATGCCATCCTCAGCCTGTGGAAAATAATGTATATTTCTAGTACAGTAGTTTTTACATTGAATAATTATCTAATAACACTCCTATCATCTCACTGAATGATTACTCCTTGAGAACTAAGATTGTATTTGTTAAATGAATGATTGTTATTGAGTAAAATGTAAATCTACATTAATCGCTAATTTAATGTAATATTTGTTCTTAAAGGTAATGAGAAGAATTTTGGACAACAGTTTCTTCATTTATTTCTTGTGGAAGGAAAGCCCACAGTTAAATACGGATGTGGAAGTTCTCAAAATATCTTGACTCTTTCTGCTAATTACAGCATTAACAGAAATGCATTCATCCCTATAACAATACGGTAAGTACCCCACAGTAGTTCCTTTAACTATAGTGCTGAGCCTTATTTTTTAAATGTTTTTTACATGTGTAATAGCCACCTAAATACAGAAAGAAAGAAAAAAAAAGGTCTCTCTGAAAATTGTTTTCCCAATCTTTTTTTTTCATTTTAGTGAAATAAACTACAAATTTGATACCATCCAGTATCAATCAAATTGTAGACAAAATGAATCAATTTCTCTGAAAATATCTTGAAGCAAATAAATAGATTAAAGAATTGGGTAGTTCAGTTGAAATTAAGATCTTGTTCAATTGTTCAACAAAATATCTATTGAGTGAAAAGAGCATCACTCAGGAAATGGAGGTGGGAAAACATCATTAGCATAGAACAGAAAAAAAGAAAATTCAGTAGAAAAAAATCGCATATTAAATGGAAATGTCTTTCTGGAGCATATAAAATTTTGGAAGGCAGTCTTGAAATTAATTCATGCTTCAGAATTAGGAAATTCCAAAAAGAGAAATGGCTAAATATGATGATCACATCCCAAAGGCACTACTGAACAAAATTTACATGTAGCAACCAAGAATATAAAATTACTCATCAGTATAGCAATGTAATGATAACGTTCTCCAAAGTTACTCTTCATCAGTTAAAAATAACGTTTTGTGTCTGACTTTATGTATTAGATGACATTTGGATAAGTTGGTCTGATCATCTGGAATCCTGGCTAACCTATGAAGGTTATATATATCGAATAATCTTTCCCAACGTCTGAATCAATCTGAAAATAAAATCAAAGAAATTGACACCAATCTGAAAATAGAAACTATGTACAGGCAGGAGCAGTATTTTACTCATCTTTAATGTACTTAGCAGAGCATCTGACAGATTCTCATAAATGTCTGAATGAATGAGGAAATGAGAGTGTCTGGGCTGGGAAATTCAGCTGGTTATGACAAGAAGGCAATGAAATTACCCTAAGGTAATGAAATTGTTATTCATAAATTAGGCTTACCCTTTCGGAACACTGAGTTATGTACAGAAAAAAAGCAAACTTTGAGAGCAATGGACTTAACTCCAATTTCAATCATTTCTCTTACAAAGGCTTGCTGTTGATCACAGAAAAGAAGCCAGATGAGAAGGTGAATAACTTAAAACCAATTTAAAAGGCATTTCTTGATAACCTCATCATTTTAAACAATGTCATCATTTTATACAAACAGTCTATTACATATGAAGTAATTTCTATTTTTGGTCAAACTTTCTTGAAGGACTGATTTCATGTTTTGCCTTTAACTAATGAGGACCTAGTCAGGCAGTCCTCAAACAAACCCCTCAACTCCTTAGGTAGCCTCAAGTTGAAAGCATCCTGAAAAAAATTACTGACACTTTTATTAAAACTGAAAACAAAGGACTTTGGATTAATGTTATCCAAAATTTAGAAAGTGAAATACAGCCATCTTTATTGATGCAAAAATTTAAATCTGATTTGTCTTGTCAGCAATATCCTACAAGACCTCAGGGTGACAATAGTTTGCATTAAAGGCTGACCCTAGAACTATATTATATATTATACATTATATTATACATTACATATTATATTACTGAAATTATTTAAATTTATATAATTTTAAAACAGTCTATATATTTAAATTTATATAATTTTAAAACATTATATAAATTTAAATAAGTTAGTTAAAATAAATTAACTAAAAATTAATTTTAGAAAAGTTGAGTGCCCACTTGCTCTCTCAATATTTCTTAATTTTTGTTTTTCATTTTTCTTTCTGTTTCTTCTGGGTTTTTTTCTCTGTTTTTAATTTTATTTATTCATGTAACAAATGCTTTTTTTTTTTTTTTTTTTGTAGTAATACACTAAGCTCCTGGAATTCAATGTTAAGCCAAAACAGACAAAATCCTAATTCTTATATAAAGTTTGGTGAGGCAGATTGACAAATAGTCACACTAAGGAGGAAATATCAATAATTAAAACTCAATATGTGTGGGAAATTTTTAAAAAATGGTGCAAGGAAAACAAATTACAAAGTAACCTAGCCTAGGATAAATAGTCAAAGGAAGCTCTCTGAAAAATGGGTAGAGGTGGTGAACTAGGTAAAAACAAATAAGCAGAAACAGTCAAAGCAGTGGTGTAGGAGTTCCAGGCAGTGAAAAGAGTATGAGAAAAGAGCCTTTGGTGGAAAGAGCCACAGTATATTAAGGGATCCAATAGACTAACTGTGTATGGAACAGAGGAGCAGAGGAGGATGACTGAGTACTGGAAGGTGAAGACAGAGGGTCCACCAGATGGCAAAAACTGTAGGGCCCTATAACTGTGTTAAAGAGTGATTTAAGGGGGCCACTTAGATGTCTGTTATATGTCCAAATAAGACATATGGTGGCTTGGACTAGGCTGGTGTCATACAGAAATTGACAGATTAAAAAAATAATTAGGGTTGGTGGCCAAGATGGCAGAGTGGGAAAATTCTGAGCTCACCTCCTCCCATGAGCACAGAAAAATTCAACTAGTTACAAAACAACTATTGATCAGAAAGACCAAAAGACTAGCAGAAAAGATCTTCTACAGCTAAAGATTTGAAGCACCACAAGGAAATGGGTAGGAGGTGCTGAGTCACGATATAGTCAACACCCATTCCCATGTGTGGGTGGCCCACAAACAGGAGGATAGTTACAATTGTAGAAGTTCTCCCCAAGGAACAAGGGGTCTGAGCCCCACATCAGGCTCCCCAGCCCAGGAGTCCTGCACCAGGAAGATGAGCCATAGGAACATTTAGCTTTGAAGACCAGCAAGGCTTGCATATAAGAGAGCCAGAGAGCTGTGGAAGATTGACTCCATTCTTAAAGGTGCAAACAAAATCTCACACACTCCAAGACCCAGGGCGGAAGAAGTGATTTGAGACAAGCCTGGGTCAGACCCACCTGATGATCTTGGAGAGCTTCCTGGAGGGTCAGGAGGAGACGGATTCTCATCCTGGGGATATAGACACTGATGGCAGCCATATTAGGGAGCTTGTTCTATCACAAAGACACTGATGCTGGCAAGTATCATTTTGGAATCCTCTCTCTAGCTTATTAGTGCCAGGACCCAAACTGGCTCACCAGCCTGCTGGCACCAATACTAGGATGCTTCAGGCCAAGGAGCTGGCCTGGCAGGGACACAGACCCACCCACAAACAGACTGGCTGCCTTAGACCTGCTGAGCCTAACCTTTCCAGGACTCAACCCCATGCACCAGCAGGCCAACACCAGCTCTGGGACACCATGGGTCCCTAAGTCAGTTGCCCTGGGATCTGACCCTACCCCCCAGGGGGCTGACACAAGCTATGGGACACCCCAAACACCACAGTCAGTCTTGTTAGGAACCAGTCTCTCACATCAGCAAGCTGACACCAGCTCTGGAAGAAGTAACAAACAACACCACAAATATACAAAGGATTATAAGAGAGTACTATGAACAGTTATACACCAAACAAATGGACAGCTTAGAAGAAATGAATAAATTCCCAGAAAGAAACAATCTCCCACAGTTGAATCAGGAAGAAATAAAAAATATGAACAGACCAATTACTAGTAATTAAATTTAATCAATAATAAAAAACCTCCCAAAAAATGAGAGTCCAGGACTAGACAGCTTCACAGGTAAATTCTGCCAAACATTTAAAGAAGGTTTAATGCCAATCCTCAACTTCCTCAAAAAAATTGAAGAAGGAAGAATGTTTCCAAACTCATTATGCAAGGCCAGCATCACTCTGATACCAAAATCAGACAAAGACAACACAAAAAAGAAAATTACAAGCCAATATCACTGATGAAAATAGATGAAAAAGTCCTCAACAAAATACTAGCAAACCAAATTCAACAGTATATTAAAAAGACCATATACCACAATCAAGTGGGATATATCCCAAAGATACAAGAATGGCTCAGTACTTGCCAATTAGTCAATGTGATGCACCACATTAACAAATTGAAGATAAAAATTATACGATCATCTTAATAAATGAAGAAAAAGTTTTTGACAGAATTATACATCCATTTGTGATAAAACTCTCAACAAGGTAGATATAGAGGGAATATACCTCAATATCATAAAGGCCATATATGGCAAATCCACAGCTAACATTATACTCAATGGTGAAAAGTTGAAAATGCTTCCTCTAAGATCAAGACAAAGACAAGAATGCCCACTCTCACTTTTATTCAACATATTATTGGAAGTTCTAGCCAGAGTAATCAGACAAGAAAACTAAATAAAAGCAATCCATATTAGAAACAAAGAATTAAAACTGTCACTGTTTGCAGATGGCATGACACTATAAATAGAAAATCCTAAAGACACCACCAAAAAAACCAACTAGAATCCATCAGTGAATTAGGTAAAGTTGCAGGATACAAAATTAATACACAGAAATCTGTTGCACTTCTATACACTAATAAAAAACTACAGAAAGAGAAATTAAGAAAAAATCACACTTAAACAATCACACCAAAAAGGATAAAATACCTAAAAATAAATCTAACTAAGGAGATAAAAGAACTGTACCTGGAAAACTATAAGACACTGATGAAAGAAATTGAAGATGATACAAACAGATGAAAAGTTATACTGTGTCCATGGGTTGGCAGAATTAATATTGTTAAAATGACCATACTACCCAAGGCAATCTAAAAGTTCAGTGCATTTCCTATTGAAAAACCAATGGCAATGTATATAAGTCCATGCCACTCTCTCACTTCATCCCAGCTTACCCTTACCTTTCCCTGTGTCCTCAAGTCCATTCTCTATGTCTGTGTCTTTATTCCTGTCCTGCCCCTAGGTTCTGCAGAACCTTTTTTTTTTTTTTTAGATTCCATATATATGTGATAGGGGGGGTGGGAGGGAGACACAAGAGGGAGAAGATATGGGGATATATGTATAGCTGATTTACTTTGTTATAAAGCAGAAATTAACACACCATTGTAAAGCAATTATACTCCAATAAAGATGTTTAAAAAAGAAAGAT